CCGTTGCTCTGCAGCGCGCCGTAGTCGCCCTGCACCAGGCTCTGTGCCTCGCGGTAACCCCCGGCTCCCTGCTGCATGCCTCCTGGCGGCTCGGCGTGCACGATGGAGGCGCTGGAGGTGAGCAGGCTGTAGTGGTTAGACGCTGCGGTCGCCATGACTCTCTGAGCCGGACTGAGCGCGCCGGTTAAAGGAGCCGCGCATTTGACAGTTACTTTTTCGCCTAAGGCTTCCTCTCCTTGCTCGCTTTCTTTCTTTCTCCGCGCTCGTTCGCTCTCTCTTTCTCGCTCTCTCTCTCTTTCCGCCAGCGGGCAGCTCCGACGCCCGCTCCGACGCCTTCTGTTGCTGCTCCTGCTATTGCTGCTGCTGCCGCCGCCGCCGCCTCCCGCCACCCGCCCTCGCTCCCTTTCTCCTCTTCTCCCTCCTTCTCGCTCTCGTTCACTCTCTGCCTCGCTCGGCGCTCCCCCCTCTCCCTGCTCTCTCCAGCTCTCTCCCGCTCTCTTGGCAGCTCCGGCTCACAGCGGCACGCGCCTGGGCCCCGCCCCCTCCGCCCCCTCCCATTGGCTCCGCGCCCTTTGATTTACGTGGATACCGTTAGCAACCTCCCAGGCCGGCTCCACTGATTGGCGCAGAGCTGCCTCCTCCCTCTAGCCTCTGGGCACTGAGTGCTGTTCGCCCCCCGCCTCCCTGTTCCCTCTCAGGGTCTGATTCAGATTCTCTCAGTCCTCACCTCCTCATAACCCCCACCCCGGGCCTCCTCCGCCCCTCTCTGGTGGGCCCCGCCCCCCATCTGTCTCTCGGGCGGAGGAGCCGGGCGGGGAGCGGCCCGGGTGCTCATCTGGTCTACAGCCTCTTGCATTTGGAAGGGGGTGGGGTCCACCTTCTCCCAATAGGGCCTGTGTGTGTGTGTGTGTGTGTGTGTGTGCGTGGGGGGGGTGATGGTGAAGAGAGAGAGCCGGAGAAAAGCAGAGTCGCACCAAGCCAGCAGGAGTCCGGTCCCCCCCACCGCTTTTTCCCATCTTGGGACCCTCCCCCTCCCCCAGCGTGTCTTAAACCTAGAGCCTGGAGCAAGGCTTGTCCGGTGCTGTAGTCTCCTTTCTCCCACGGTTAAAATTTCAGTGCCCAAGTGTCTCTTGCCCCAAGGTGTGTGGACAATTTTGCCCTGAATTAAGGTCTTCCTCACCAGTCCACCCGGCCGCTAGCGCAGGCTGTCTCCTTTTTAAGTCCCAAGCCCAATTGTCTCCCAGCCCCTCAGCAAAAGGACTCTGCAAGAGGCAGAATCAGCCTGCATCTCGGCTTGCGAGTGGTTCTTGTTCAGGCGCGGAGTTCCGTGCTCTGACGGCGCGTTAGTCTGGACTGAAATCAAAACAAACTCTTAAAGTCACTCTGTCAGAGTCACACACTCTGGAGCGCTCGGGTTTTGGTTTAGGAAATTAGAAACTGCTCGGACAGACCTTCGCCTTGGGCGAGGCTTCAGAAGCGCTCGCGAGGGGACCGCTGCCTCTGGATGAGGCTGAGGCGCGAAGTGCCGTTTCGGAAAGCCTGGCCACGAGGGCTGCGTGAGCGCTTCTCCGCTCTCCTGGAGCTTTTCAGTTCAACTTTTCCTTTGGCCTCTTGGAAAGGGAAAAACTGAGTGTGTGAGAGAAAATGGGCTGGTGCTGGGGAACCTTCCTAATCAGTAACTTCTTGGGTGCCAGCGAGTGGAGTTGGTCTAACTCAGGTCTGAGCAATTGCTGGTCAAGCTCCCCTGCCCAGCTTTCAGCTTCAAACTCCAAAGACTGTGCAACCCGCTGCGCCGCTGTGCAGAGCGAGAGCACGTAGCGCCACCACTTCTCTGGCAGCTGGAGCAGGTGCCTACCGCTGTTTTCCGAGCCTGCGAGTGGCATAGGACACCTTGGCGCCGGTGGAGACTAGAGCCGCGAGACCGCTATGCAGGTACTGCAAAGCGAATCAAAAAGTTGCAGCCGGGAAGGGAAAGACCTCAGGGAACGTGAGTCGCTCCCGCACCTATCACCCTATTCCCGCGCGATGTGACGTTGGCACTACTGACGGCTGTGGTCTTGTGAGGGAAGCCAAATGAACGCTCAGGGGGAGCGCTTTGGGGCTTCCGAGCCTCTTCATCGAGACAGCAGAATGGAGCGGGCCAGAGAATTCATCATGACTAACAAGGAGCGGAGCTCTTTGGGGAGTGGCTGAGCTGTTTATAAATCACCACGATGAGCACCCGCCCGGGCCAGACGCTTTGGCTGAGCATTTCCACGTGTCCTGTGTTTATGAGCGTATGTGTGGGAGAGAGGGAAATGGTTAGGGGAGGGGCGAGCCATAGGCCGCGGGCGGGACGGACCGGCACCCTCCATGCGCGCACCCGCGCGGCGAGGCAAGGACAGACACAGCATGGCGCTCTGTCCCACGCAAGCGCGGAGACGCTCCGGCCGCGCGCCTAGAAGGCTGATAGAAATCCAGTAACTTGCTAGGCTCCGGGAAAAATAAAAGGAAAAAGTCGGAGCCTCCGAGCGCACAAACACAGCGGCGGTAGCTTCGGTTCCTCCGCAGGGAGCCGAGGGGGTTGGCAGTGGGCTGGGCCATCTCTGCTGAGCTCCGGCCCCTAGTCTCCAGCGCTGGGCGGCTAGGTCTCTTGGGAGCTTGGGGAGTGCGCCTGCCGCCCTCCTTCTACTCTCCTCCAGCGCCCCGACAGCTCGAAGCTCCCACAAAAGGAAGGTTGTAGTCGCCCGGAAGGGCCGCGTCCGGGTGCTTAGTGGCCCTCTCCTTTTTCGGGTCTCCCCTGTCGGAGGTTTTTCCTACTGACAGAGGCGAGAGTAACTGGTGAGGGGGTGGGGATGGCAAGCATAGGCAGCACGTGTTCACCAAAACTTCCTGTTGGTGATGGGACTTCGAAGGTGATTACTGCTCCAAAAGACCCTTACTGCGTAGTAGTCTCAGATCACCACGCCAGACCCTACCGCTCACCCCCGCCTCGTTTCGCTACCTGGCAAAGGAGCCGTAAAGTTCCCAAACGGGTAAACCCGCCTGGTTCTACCGGATTAATACACCCAATAAATCCCTGGGAAGACACAAAGCAATTCCTTCCCACCGGCCTTGCCCCCTCCCCCCCTCCCCGCATCCTCCCCTCCCCCGTCCCGAGCAAAGCTAATCAGGGGACCGCCGGAACTGGGCGAGCCGGCGGCTCCGGGCACCCTCTCCCCTCCCCCACCTTTCCGCTTGGCTTCTAGGGGTCCGGTTGGCGCGAAAGCTGGGTCCAGAGCCGCCTCCGCTTCCCCAGCATCCGGGCAAGATTCCTCCCTGGGACTCAGGAAACCTGCGTCTGTGTAGATTTTAGCAGCAAATGGGGATCTCTCCTCTCCCCTTCCCACCCGCCTTTCTTTGGGGCTGACCTCTCCAAGGCAGAGTCCACGAGTCTGCCCTGCCTTTCTCCGCCGGCTTAAAAGCACATTGAAGGTATCTCGAGCAGACACCTCCAGGTTTTGATTCAGCTTATTCCCTTTCACTGTTCAAAATAGTTGTTTAAATACAGAGGCCGCTCACGTTGACGTGGAGAGGATTTCAAACAACCCTAAAATGCTTTGAACTGACAACGTGTCCTCACTCCTCCGTAGCTCCCGAGATCACTCATTAGGGCAACGATTGAACTGGCGTTTCCTGCGGGCCTAGGCGCCACGGGTGCGGACTGCCTGATTCCCCGAGCAACTTGGGCGAAGACTGGCTCTCGGCACCCTGCAAGGAGATCCTAGTTCCTACACCAACCCATCCCTTTCCCCTAAGTCCAGAGGAAGGGCCCTACACGGTTGAGAACCTGAGCGGGAAGGCTGGTTTGAAGAAGTGGTGCGGATTCATCCTGCGGGACTGCGCTGTGCGGCGAGGAAACAATCCAGCGTAAACTAAAAAGACACCACCGCATTCATCCCGCATACTCACACTCCTCCAGACAGTGAGCCAGGCTGCGTCTCAGCAGCCCCCAGCAACCTTGACCCAAACTCCTCAAGTCTTCACCCGAGTAACGGTCATAGAACCAGCTCATACACTAACTTGAACTCTGACTTATCAACTCATTCATCTAATAAAACACTTGCACTATATGTAAAATACCATTTATTGTTCCTACCAGGAGTTAGAAAAACCATAATTATGTCCATACTTTAAGTTGGAAGCACAATTTTAAACAGAAAGGAGGTAGTATTTAACTGATGGATCTTTATAATGTATGTGGTCCCAGAATAATAGAAATGAGGGAACAAAGGGAGCTCTCTTTTGGAGGTGGTGCTTTTTTTTTTTTGGGGGGGGGGGAGAGTAGCAGTAGAGGTTTAAACTTGGGTAAAATTGCTCTGATGTTTCTTTTTTAGAAGGACCTGCTTAACGTATGATATGCACCTTGGAGAGAGATTGTTTGGCTCTCCTTTTTTCAGCCCTGCCATCCGTCATTCATTCCTTTCTGCTAGCTCCCTGCATTTGTTTGATTTGGTGGCAAGTCCCTCACATCTGAATGGAACTTTTTTGCTTAGGGCCTACAGAATAACAAAACTGAGGCCCTTACTTCAGAATTGCAGCTTTAAGTAGCCAATACACACAAAGAGGCAGCTGGCTGCTTTAATGAAAACCGCTTCAAAGCTTCAAGAACTGCAGACTCAGTGATACATTTATAAGAAGCCTGGGAAATAGCTCTTCTGAGGTGCCAGTTTTCGGAGAGATAATAAATATTTACCTTTAAAAAGGTAAATTAATATCTTTAATTATGTAGCAGCATATTTATATATTGTCTCCTTAGTTTAAAAAAAAAAAAAAACATAGACACACATGCACATTTTATAAGTTCCCAAAAATGTTTCTGTCTCCATGCCGTATCACTGTCTCGAAGAAGGGAAAGTTTCTTAAAGTTGAAATTGCCATTCTTTATATGCTTAGTAATTCTGTTTGTCCACTCCTCACATGAGACTGTTTTCTTTCTACTCTCACTACTATTTAAGCCAGTGAGATATAACATCATAAATTCAGTATTTGAAATGAAATTGTTTGAATTCATAGATATTAATCTCTTTCCCTTTTTTTTCCTCTAGTTCTGAATCTTATCATTAAAAATGATCTGATCCCTTTGTAGTCCACAAGTGAATATTTTATAGACAGGCAAGGCTTGAAGACTTCTAAC